TATGCTCGGAAATCTGCATTTATGAACGCCATTCCATACTGCTCAATCCATTCTTTTATTTAATTTCATGTTTTTAATCAACATTGTATATATTTAAGGTGTGCAAAATGATGATTTGATATATACATCCAACAGTGCTGACGCGTCAAGTGAATTACTATATCTTCTCACATAGGTGCCACTTTGTGTGCATTCAATACAGTATTCAGTACAGTATTAGTAGCTGTAGTCATCACGCTGGGCGGTACATCTCTAGACGTCCTCGTCCTTCATCATAGCAGCTGGGTGCCCTTTGACCAGCATCTCCTCCTCGTCCCACCTGCCTGCCCCTGGTAGCTGCCATTCTACTCTGATTCCGTGTGTTCCACTTTTCTAGATTCCACCTAGAAGTGGGATCATGCAGTGTTATTTTTCTTCCTGTGGCTGGCTCATTTCACTTCTATATACCACGTTTTCTTTATTCATTTACCTGTCAATGAACATGTAAGTTGTTGCCATGTCTTGGTGATTGTGAATAATGCTGCAATGAACACGGGAGCACAGCTCTCTCCTTGAGACCCTGATTTCCTTTCCTTTGGGTATTTGCTCATAAATGGGATTGCTGGATCATAAGGCAGTTCTGTTTTCAGGCTTTTTCAGGGCCGTCCATACTGTTTTCCACAGTGGCTGCACCAATTTACATTCCCATTAAATGTGCACAAGGTTCCCTTTTCCACATCCTTGCCATCGTCTTTTATTTTTTGTTAGCAGCCATCATAACAGGTGTGAGGATACTGTGGTTTTCTTGTCTTTCCCTGGTGACAAGCGATGTTGGGCATCTTTTCATATACCTGTTGGCCACACACAGCAAAGGAACATGAAACACCATGAAAAGGCACCCTATGGAATGGGAGAAAATATTTGCAGACCATATATCTGATATGGGGTTAATTTTGGAAATGTATAAGGAATTCATACAACTCAATAGTAAAAAAATACAAAACAAAAACCCACCATGATAAATGGGCAAAGGACCTGAATAGACATTTTGCCAGAGAAGGCATACAAATGGTCATTGGAAGTTTGATAGGAATTGGACTGAAACTGTAGTTGCTTCTGGTAGTACACATTACAAAAAAAAGTATGGCCTGGTCTTGCAGGAGGTGGTGAATGAGGGTGCAAACTACTGCCACCTTGTGGCAACTCTTTGCCTGCAGCATTCTCTCCATTGCAGAGCCGTTTTCCTTTTCCTGCTTCCCTGAAGGGTAGGCGTATGCCTGAGGCAGGCATCATGTGATTTCTCTTTTTACTCTAATGAACCTAGTGAGAGCGCTTGCGATTGTATTGATCCTCTCAAATAATCAGCTTTTTTTTTATTTTTAATTCTCTCCTGTGTATCCGTTTCCTTTTCATCCATTTTACTCTGCGTTTACCTCCTTTTATTCTGCTTTCTTACGGTAGAAATTTAGCTTGTTGATTTGTGAACTTATCTCATTTCTACTATAAAAGCGTTTAATGTTATAAGTTCCTCTGTAAGCACTGCTTTATCTGCGTTCCCACAAATTTTGGTATGTTGTGTTTTCATTTTGAATTTGTTTAAAATATTTTCTAATTTCTCATGTGATTTGTCCTTTGACCATTAAAAACATGTTGATTAATTTCTATGTGTTTTGGGGATTTTTCCAGCTAGTTTTCTGTTACTGATAGTTTGTAAGTTACACTGTGGATATTGACATACACTGGATGATTTTAAATTGTTTGATTTTTGAGACTTGTTTTATAGCTCAGTATGGACTATATTGTGTAGCATTTTAATATGTTCTGTTGTTACTAGGTAGAGTGTCCTATAAACTTCAATTAGGTCACATCAGATTGACACTGTTGTTCAAGTCTTCTGTATATTTACTGATATACTGATATTTTGTCTGCTTTTTCTTTTCATTACAAACAGGGAAATAATGGAATACCCAATTGTAATTGTTAATTTGTCTGTTTCTCCTCTCATTTCTTTCAGTTTTTCTTTAAGAATTTTGATTTTCTGTTATTAGGTACATTCTGATTTAGTATTAATATGTATTCCTGATGAATTTACCAGTTTATCATTTGGAAAAATACTCCTGTTTATTTCTGGTAATATACTTTCTCCTGAAATACACTTAATTTATAGTCATTTAGCCAATATAGCCTATTCTTTTTTTCTTTAGATTAATTTTTCCACAGCATATCTGTTTCCATCCTTTCATTTTTAATCTATCTCTGCCTTTATATTTGATACCTCAAGTGGATTTTTATAGGTAGCATATACCTGAGTCTCGTTTTTTACCGAACTGACAACTCTCCCTTTAAAATCGAGTGTCTAGAATCTTAGCAGAAGACATCATTCCATCATGTAGAACCAAATTTACAAATTTCCATTGGGCATCATTTTTTTTCCTGCCCCAAGGGGGGAAAAAATATTTTTAATAGCACAGGTTTTGCTGACGAGGACTTTTCTTAGCTTTTGTTGTTGTTGAAAAAGTTTTATCTTATTTTTTGAAGAATGGACTTTATTTTTTAGAGCCGTTTCAGGTTCACAATAAAATTGAGAGGAAAGGAGAGATTTCCCATATTCCCCCTGCCCCCACATATGCCCAGCCTCCCACATTATACACGCCCCCTTCCAGGTGGCATGTGTGTTACAATCGATGAAACTACATTGACATGTTATCATCACCCAAAGTCCATTTTACTTTCATTTTTGAAATATACTTTTACTGGTCAGGAATTCTAGGTTGACAATTTTTTTTCTTTTGGTCCTTAGAGGTATTGCCCCATTTTATTCTGGCTCTTGTAGATTCTGGTGAAAAGTTTGCTGTAATTTCTCTTTGTGTTCCTCTGTATTTAATGTCTTTTCTCTCAGGCTGCTTTGTAAGATTTCTCTTGATCATGGGTTAATTTGATTATGGTGTGCTCAGTGTGGCTTTCCTTGTATTTATTTTGCTTGATTTCTTTGAGTACAATAGCTGTAGGTGTATAGTCTCATCAAATTCAGAAAACGACAGGCTATTGTTTCCTCAACTATGTCCTCCCTCACCCGTCTACACATATGCTAGACTGCTTGAAGTTTTTCTGAAGCTCACTGTGAACTTTCTCCCCTCTCTCTTTTCCTCATTTCTTCCTTTGTTTGTTTTAATATAGGCTCAGACTTACTGATCTTTTCTTCTGTAGTGTCATATGCCATTAATCCAGTTCAGTTTATTTTTAATTCAGATATTGAGTTTTCATCTCTGGAAGGCCTCATTTGGTTCTATGTAGCTTTCATTTCTCTCTTCATCATGTTGATTTTTTCTTCTCAACCTTAGACATATGTATTAGATTTATAACCTGTCTTGTAAGTCCCTTGTCGTTGGTTCTATCACCTTTGTCATCACTGGGTCTATTTTTACTGATTGACTTTTCTCTGGATTATAGACCATATGCTCATGTTTGTTTACAAGACTGATATTTCTGATTAGATTCAGTATATTATAAATCCTATATGTTGAGTGATGGACTTTGTTGTTTCCCTTTAAAGAATGTTAGACTTTATTCTGGCTCATATTTAAATTGCTTGCAGATCGGTTTGATTCTTTCATGAGTGGTTTTTTAAAAATGTGTTAGCGTAGTTCCAGAACAGTTTCGTCTAGAGCTCAAAGGCCCCGCTACTCATGCAATCCCGTTCTAGGGACCCTCTTGAGGTCTCTCCACGTTGCTGGTGGGAATGCATGTTTTTCCAGCCTTGTAGGTGCTTTTGGAATTGCTCATCTAACCCCTTTTAGGCATTTTTGTTTTCCTCCTTGTGACGTTTTAGCCCAAGTGTGCTCAGGTTAGTATTCAGGTCAAGATTCACAGGGCTCCCACTGCAATACTCAGGAGCGGCACCCCTACCCAGATGCCCATTTCTGGTTTCCTGCCTTGAAAATGGGGATGTGTCATGCTGTTGGAACTTTGGCCTCAGTTTCTTTGACTCAGAGGATTGTTGGTCTGTTTGGGCTCTTGCTCCCTGTGCTTTGACCTGGAACCTGCCTCCTGTAGTAGGTTGGAGACATCACATGCTTTTCTTCAACCACAGCCCTGCACTACTTGCTGTCCAGTGTCTGAAACCCTTGTTTCATGTCTGTGTCTAGCTCTCCCGTTGCATACTGTAGGAGGGACGTTCCCATAGTGGTTAATCCTTTTTTGATGCAAGGCACTTTACTAGGCAGGCCAGAAGTGATTATGACAAGGTCCTTGCCCTTAAAATGGTGCGACCAAATAGAAAGATTGGAAATATGTAAATGCGCACAATGCAAAAATCAAGCAAGATTCATAGTTAGAGCAGTCCAGTCAGAACCCTGAGGTGAATTAGAGGAGAGATCACATTTGTTTGAAAAGTCAGCTGTGTTCAAGGAGGTAGAATTTGAGATGGCCCCTGAGGGATGGCTTAAAGTTGTGAGACAAAGCTAGAAGAGAGATGACGTGTCAGGTATGAAAGAAGCCAGAGCAGAGGCGTGGGTGAGAGGAACCAGAGGGAATATTGGAGGAAGAGCCAGGCACCCCATTTCTCTGAGGTGTACAGTGTTCAGGAAGACTTGGTATGGCCAGAGGGATGCACTGACGATTTACAGATAGATTTGATGGGGGGATGCTATGCTGGGTAGAAGGACTGAAATGCTCAAAGGCCTGGGTGACAAGAAAGCAAAGGAAATATTTTAGGAAGGACAAGAAGTTTAATTTCACTGGGGTATAGAATTTACAACAGAGGAATGACCCTTGAAGACTCACTTTAGGTCCCCTTGTGAATTCCCCTAGAAATTATACTTTACTTGATTTAAAGGTGAGTCTTTAACACTTCCTAAGTTGCCTATTTGGCAATAGCTACTACAATAACTGGAATTAAAAACAAAACCAAAGAAAATCAAACTTCTAATTTTTTGAAAAAATATTTCATTTAATTTTGCTTCTATGAACTCCAAGTAGGCTTTTTCACACTTCACAACATTCTCATCATGTTTCTGGATTTTTCATTTCTTTCTTCGGCAGCATTTCCGGCCAGCGACAGAGCACCTGCCTATATGCTCCTCCCTCGGGAGGCAGTTAAGCACAGCACAGCGACCGCCTCTTATCCTGCAAAAATACCTTTGGAGTGCATTGATGACTACTCCATTACCTGCAAGGACAAAATAGAATGCACGGAAAGGCTTTAGGAAGGCTTTGGGACCAGTACAAGGCTTTTGGAATTCCTCAAATAACTGATTTGTTGCCTTTCTTTTATTCTTTTTGTGTGTGTCCTTTTTCCTTTCTCTATAAAGTCAGGAGTGAAGTAGAAGGTAGCACCAGGCATTCAATCAACAACATATCTCTGGGCTGCAGCTCAGCTGTGGGAAGTGTGTGGCCATGGGGGGCAGCCCACGAACAGGCGCATGGAAGGGCTGGGGCTGCAGTGTCCCCTGGCCTCGCAAGTGGCCCAACGACTCTACCTCTAACCACTAAGCTAATAAAATGGAAGTCTGTGCTCTGTTCCCAGATCACATCAACCTTTCCTGGTGGTTTTAAAATGTCTCCATTACTTCCTTCATGTTTCATTAACAGGTGTAACAGTCTTTTTCCATAAAGGGGTGGCCTTTGTAAGCTACTTAGTCTGTTAAGAGTGGATCAAAAAAGACTGGGAGACCTGCTTTCAGGTTGTTGATCCTTGTCAGAAAAAAAAATCATGTCTATTTCCCATACAGCAAATCTGCTGGTCTCCAGTTTCCTGAAGAATGGATAGGGACTGATTCTGAATCACACGTTCTCGATGCTTCCAACCCTCTCCTTCCCCAGTCCATCTTACCTGGAACAGGCATCAAGAACAAGAGCAGCAATGCAAAGACCAGGTAATAGATCCTCATGGCTGACAGGGTTCACGGCACGCTGAGACTGGACGGGAAGATGCTTGTTCACTTTATAAACGTTCCAGCCCACAGCCCTAGGTTGAGTGAGCAACGGCTGCAATTCCTGTAATATCACACCGATGACAACATGAAGTTGTTCCTGATGCTTCACGCCAACATCTCTTACCACATAGACCCCACCCACTAAAGCCGGAGCTTAATTACAAACCTAAGGGGTGAAGCAAAGTTTGCTGTGAGCATAGAGCTGTCCTGATGCCCTCTAGGCTCTGGGAACTTGTCTAGGTCTGGCTCCGATCTGGTTGTAGGCATAGGTGGGAAAGACCTGCCTCCCCTTAGGAGCAGTCCTGGGGCATGTCTGGTCCCCTCTATGGTGCTTCTAAATGTTCTGTCTTCTTTCTAAAGCCCTGGAGGGTCTGGCCTTGGACATATTGAGAATCTAGACATAAACTTGGGTTGGGTCCCACCTTGAGGCTGCACAGGTATGCCTGAAACGGAGATACCGCAGGGTTGACTTTAACTAGGTGGTGAGGAAAAGGAAGAAGAATGGGCCATGTTCCCGAGCCTTGGACCCTAGGCCTCTTGGCCATGACGGGGTGCTGGAACTTTGGTGCAACATGACTGACACTTCATCATTGTGTGAACACTGCCAAATCCATGAGTCAGGAAGGTGTCTCATTTTCCTTCATCAGAGAAAGACAATGCTGGATGGTATATGTGATGGACTGGCATCTCCTCCTGGATGACACTTCTTATGCAAATGAGGGCCTTAAGAAGGCACACTTGAGACACCTGGTTACTCACGTTTCAGGAGCATTCGAGGAAGTCCAGGGGTCAGGTGGTTTCCTCTGGATACAGAGTCAATGTTGAGTAGGCCAACTGCTTTTAATTTTATTCATTATTAGACTTAAATGTTGAGGAATCCAATCAATGGATGATATTTGTCAATAGTGTAACTGGAAGCTGACGTCACTATGACGTTGTCTGGCTGTAGCTTTGTGTGAATGCAAATATAATGGGCCCACCGAGGTTCCGGGGTGTGTTAGTTCCAGGTGTGTGTGCTCAGGATCCTGACGCACCTGTTTGATTCTGTGAGCAAACTCTGAGCACCTACTGTAGACAGAGACAAGTCCCGTGTGCTTGGGGTAGGAGAGGGGACAGAAGGAAGGAAAGACAAAGAAAGGCAAATTCTGGTTCTTTCTTTCAAGAAACTTCTTGACGCAACACAATATACAGATGATGCATTACAGAACTGTACACTTGAAACCTATATAATTTTATTAACCAATGTCACCCCAATGCATTTAATTAAAAAGAAAAGAAAATCCCATGGAGGTAAAGGCAGATGGGCATATAGCCAAATAAACCATAGAGGGTGGATTTTGATAAGTGTCGTACTAAGGGTCCCCGCACTGGGCTGTGGAAATGTAGAAGAAAGGAAATTCATGCTGAAGGGGGAGCTCAGAGAGCAGATTTAAGAAGAATCTGGAATTGTACACACGCTATCTTTTTAAAATCTAACTTTCCTCCTAAGTTCAGGATTTGAGGCAAAGCAGGCATTTTTAAATGGGGAAGGATGCAAGAGTGGGCTGAGTGAGATATTGACTGTGTGAGGAGTCTTGTAGGGGATGGAAGAGAGAGGGTGGGTGGGGAATTATAGAGAATTACAGCCAGCTCTCAGGCCAGACACACGGCTGGACCCATCAGGCATCAGGTGAGGTTTTACTTTTCCATTTGAAGAACAGAACTCCACAGTGAACCCTTGGTCTAACATGTTCCTTCAAAGACTGGGAAGCATTTCTAAGTAATGCCACCATTTCACAAAAGGTTCTTTGGAAATAAAAGCCACTTTTCCTTGTCATCTAATTTGGAAGCTGAAGGTTGAGCATTCGACTATGGCCCAGCACCCTTCCAACTCACAAAGTGATTTTTAAGGGGCATTTCTGTATGTATTTAAAAAATATTATGAAAGTTATGCATAGCTGTGGTAAGAATGTAAGCAATGGAAGAACGAGACAGTGTGCTTCCCTTCCACCCCGGGAACCACTGGTAACTGTCTTATTTTTGGTTTATCATACATTTTTGGTGTGTTTTTTTTCAAAAATGCTTTTAGACTCTTAAGTAATAGCATTTACATGTTTCCTGTCTAATAGTTAATTGTGCCTAGAGAGTCTGGCGACACTGCCAGGAGCTGGCCCCACTTCCTGGCCCCGGGGCTTTGAGTCACCAGGGCTGGAAAGTGCGGACCCTGCAAACTATAGGAGATGAGCTGGCTTTTCTCTGGGCTCTGACTCAGGGATTTTTTCGATGTTGATTAGATTGAGACAAGAGAAACTTATATGCCTTTTCTGTTCATGTCAGAGTTTCCTCTAATTTTTTTTCTTTGAAGGTTGTTTTTAAAATATGGAGCAGAGAATTGGCTGATTCAAGTTTTCAAGTGGAAGCACTATGCGGGGGGCAAAATACTAGGTTTGGAGTGAGACACTCTTAGTTTAACTCTCAGCCCTACCATTTATTGTTTGGGTTTACTTGAATAAATCCCTGAAGTCTTTGGGCATCTGTTCCTCGACAATAAAGCACAGACAGTAAGATATGTCCTGTTTAGCCCACACTGAAAGCCTTATGAATTAGTGATGTGAAGTTGACTTGTAAATTGCAAACTACCACTTAACCCACGTATTACCCATGTGACCCTCAGAAAGAAAAATCAATGAGGGCCGGTTAGCAATATCAAGACAGCTTCAAGATGGTGGCCTGGGCTCCCAGCAAGGGAAGCCAAGGCTTAAACTCTTTATCTTAGCACAGTGTCAGGTGGCTCATCCATTCTCCTTTGCAGCCATTTTGATCATGTCATCACCAACCTTCTACAGGCAAAGGGAGGCATTGTCTCAGTTTTATAGATGAGGAAACTGAGGCTTAGAGAGGTTGAGCGCCTTGCGCTTGGCCACCCAGGTAGTAAAGGGCAGTGCTCAGAACTGTAGGGAACTGCATACATTCTCAGGCACCTCTGCCCTCCAGCTACCGTATAGATTGGCCAAAGGGATGCCCTGGCCGAGGACAGGAGGGCAGGATTGGCGAGCAGCCGGGTTATTTCTCGTCTTGTACTTCAGGCGGCCTCTCTTCTGTGCCTCCAATTCCGGAAAGCCACTTCATTCGCGGCCCCGGCTTCCACCAGGCAGGCCTGCCGTGCCCCTAGCACCTGCTAAGTGGTCCAGATCCCGTTCGGAACATCACCTCCTTCCTCTCCTTGTCCCTCTGGCCCTAAGGAGAGTAGTGTCTTCCTGCTGTTGCAAATTCCGAGGTGACTCACCATACTTTGGCTTCTCAGCTATCCTATCACCTATAAGCCAATTGTCTGTGTTAAATTTTGCCCCCCCTCCCCCATTTCAGATTCTTAAATTTATTTCAATTTCCCTTGTTGGACTTTGACTGTCTTTCAAGTCTGTGGCCTAAACCATCACAATATTAAAATCCTTTTAATTCTTCCCCTTGTGTTGACATTACTGTATTGTCAACAGCTAGAATAATACTTTGCTACACATGGTCCTCGTGTGTGCTTTATCAACATCTTATGATTTAGCATAAAGCAGGATCTTTGGTACGGAGCTGCCAGTTGCTACCACCTTGTTCTGGTGTTTCTCTACACAGTCTCACAATTTTGTATGCCTCCATTGTAGGTATGTCTGAAGGTCTGACAATTAAGTTCGCAAACTTAATTGTCCAACCTTGGTATATGTGGCAGTTTCTAGCATTTCAATTTATCACTGTTATTTTAGCTTAATTACTTCCCTAAAAAATAATGTAAGCAAGGAAACAGGACAAACAAAACCTTTCGCCAACTATCACCACAGGCTACTTTTTCTTCTGGAAGGTTGGCGAAGTGTAGGCCTTTAGTTGGGGACCGTCTATGGAGGCATTTTGTTTTGTCAGTGTGTTAGACCTCCGTGGAGGTTTCAAAATCAGCTTAGCTCTTAGTTTCATTTGCCCTGCTTGGGCATTTACATGTTCGCATATTGCCTGAAGGCATCTAAGCTATAACACTTGCTTTAGAAGACACTGTCTTTCCTTCAAACCCAAGTCGGAAAGCTGCTTCTCGACATGAGGCAGTGGACTAGGGAAAACAAAGGCTTTATTTCACATTGGGTCACTGAGCTGTTTGTCTCAACCAAACCACCTGGCTGTGAACGAATATTTGCATCTATATCATCTTCAGGCAGTAAGGTGTGTTGGCACTGTTGCATCTTCCTGGCATGAACAAATATTGTTGATTCTTTAGCTTTTTGAGAATCCCCTGGCATTGTGAACACTTTATGTGATATTGTGCTTCATTCACTGAGAGAGGAGAGAGAGAGAGAGAGAGAGAGAGAGAGAGAGAGAGAGAGAGAGAGAGGGAGAAGGGAGGGGCAGGGAGGGGAGAGGAGGAGGTCAGTAGAAAGCAAGGGAAAGGGTGCAAAGCAGGGACCAGTGTCACGCCTGAGGGATGCCTGGCTCACCCTGACTCACAGGATTCCTGACCTGGCTGATCAGGTGAGCAGATGGTCAGAGACACAACTTTCCTCTCTAGGAGCGGAGCGCCGAGGTGGGGAAGCACAGAGCCAGCTGACGGAGCAGTGCAGAGCCTGGTCTGGCCGGCCTAGTGGACAAGCCTAGTGGACAGGTTTGCATTTGATTTGCAGACAAGTGTGGGCCATGCCACTAGTTCACGAAAAACTAGATTTAAGATTTAAATCATCTAAGGTACTGACCCCTCACCCCCACCCAACACACACACAACTCCTCAGTAAAGACCCAGGAGCAAGGCTGATAAAGTCGTGCATACAATGGGCCGAGGAGCCTGATGGGAACTCTTTCACAGGTCTTTGTGTTTTAAAGACCAAGTATAGAATCTTTCTGCAAATGACATCAACGAGGGCTCTGGGAGTGTGGCCACTGTGAGATAGGCTATTGATGCCCAGGGACATTCCCTGGGTCCCAGCCACTCTGCCTTACCCCTCCACACT